ACAACTTACTTAGTGAGTTCCCCCCACTGAGGATTTTTCCTATGCGTTAAAAATCGTAGACGAATTACACTACCTTTATTTGAGATATAGCATTTCCCATTGCAACGGGAACGTCCGCCTCAATTAGCATATCATAATCGTTCATCGCATCTCCGATACATGCAAGGCAAGCATCTAACTTCATCCGTATTATAATAACTTGAACCAAAGATACTCATTACATCCATATTTCTCCTTCAAAACTTTCACGCCTAATCCTTTGCTGACTCCTCGCGGAACGATATCCATTGCCATCGAAACCGACTGTGCAGCCACACAACCCATACATCTGGTCAAACGGAAGAGCGTCATGTTCTCGATCGAAAGGTCCCCGGTTCAAATCTACCATGATTACTTTGCAAAATCCTCCAACCTTTTACTCATGTCTTCCGCCATCGGATCTACCAGCGACATCACATGCATCTAGAAAGAGAAGAAAAATCGAAAGTTCCATAAAAACTATAACTTCTTACCACATGAATTGGCAAATTTTCTCTTCGAATCTTTTCCAACATTTTTTCATACGATCCACACTCCTCCGGTATCGGATCGCCAAACCTGAGCAAGAATCACCTAAAATTTTTCCAGCGCCATACCATCCATCGCTCACTTCTTGTAAACATCTACCACCCTATTATCCTCGTAGGGAGCCAATACGCGATCTCCACTATAACACAAAAGCATCACAGATTCGTCGTCTTTCAGTAGGGCAACTGTACCGACTATCTGCACAGGAAAAACTCTATCATAGAGTACGTTGGAGTTTCACCCGTGATATGAAAAACGCTTGTGGAAAAAATATTTCACGACTACTGCATACCGCAAATTTCGCGTTTCTCACAGAGTATTACGTCACTTCACGTAAAACCGGTGAAACTCCCTTGATCTCACAGTTGGTTTGAATCAGTGCTGGAGTACATGCTTGCTTCCCTCAGCTGCGCTCAAAGGTTTCCAAAGCTATATAGTCAGATTCTTCACTCATAGAAGAGTATAAATAGTCATTAGTTAATTATTAATAGTCATTATTGAATATCATCATTTAATAGTCATTTTTGACTCAGGGTAGAAGCGTATAAAAACCAACACGAATTCCTTCTTGTCACTAACACACGTAGTTGCCCAAGTGCATAGTGAGGATGGTCCCCGATAAACTAGACTATGCTATCACTACAATATTCGAAGCCACTTCTGCTACTGTGTCGAAAATTCACGATGGCAATGCAAGAGAGTATTGTTCACCAACGGAGCCGCCTGAGATTTTGGCCAATTCTTAGCGCTCGACCTTCTTATTTTTCATGATACTTTACTTTTCTGCCGTTATTTTTCATTTTATAATTCAATGTTCCAGGAAACTGTAGCCCCTTCAAACTATCACTGAAACGATAAAGGTCACGTACTGTACCATCTCAGTGAACCAGGATTATGAGTGGCTTATCCGAAAATTTTCAATAACTCACCGAAATTTTTGAAAGGTTGAAAACTGCTCAACTACATGTGTTGCTGACCATATGAAAATTTTGGGAAATTCTCATTAGTTTCTGTACACTCCTACCTAAATTCGTATATAAACTCCTACTATCAGTTTTAAGAAACTCCTGAACTCAGCTGGAAAGAGCGAGCATATATTCCTTCAACCAAGCTTTATTATTACATCAGCGATATCATGTTTCTTTTCAGCAGCCACTGCTCCTGTATGGTCATAGATAACGGAACCGTTGAGGTAAATTCCTGGACGAGAATATCTGCAGAAAAATACAGCATGCCGGGATAGAACCTGCGACCTCTTACAAATCAATGCCAGATCGCCCAAACAGTCTGCTAGTTGAAGCTCGGCATCTCCCTGTAGCCGGAACCACCGGACCTACGTAATGACGATGTTACAAAATTACGGTATGACATTATTACACCCATTCTGATCGGCTCTAATAATAGCATTTAGTGTTACGTCCGGTATGGTATGAAATGGAGATACTAAAGTGCCATCCATGTCAGCACATATGAGATCAACTTCACTCAAATCCACACATGACGACTCCTCCATCGATACTAAAGTCGGCTTCTGATTATCAGCAGATTCTGGCATTATGATGACGATGAACAAGGATCCGCTGAAAATGGTCAGTCACCTGCAGGCGATTCAAAATGGAGTGGTATGAAAAATGTGACACATATTTACTACACACAGGGTGTGAACTAAGCTCCACCACATACTCTACAGTGATATCTTGAGCCGATAATAGTGACAAATCTGTATAAAAATGATATCAAAACTCCCAGGGTGGGCAGTATCTGTCTTTCACGGGAGATTACACTCAGTTATAAAACAACGGAGTTTCACCTGTTTTACGTGAAGTGGCGTCGTAAAACTCGGTGAATAGCGCGATATTCGCGATGATATGCAATAGTCG